GACTGCTGCAGAGACCCCAGGACTGAGACTGAGACTGCTGCAGAGACCCCAGGACTGAGACTGAGACTGCTGCAGAGACCCCAGGACTGAGACTGAGACTGCTGCAGAGACCCCAGGACTGAGACTGAGACTGCTGCAGAGACCCCAGGACTGAGACTGAGACTGCTGCAGAGACCCCAGGACTGAGACTGAGACTGCTGCAGAGACCCCAGGACTGAGACTGAGACTGCTGCAGAGACCCCAGGACTGAGACTGAGACTGCTGCAGAGACCCCAGGACTGAGACTGAGACAGAGACCCAGACTGAGACTGAGACTGCTGCAGAGACCCCAGGACTGAGACTGAGACTGCTGCAGAGACCCCAGGACTGAGACTGAGACTGCTGTAGAGACCCCAGGACTGAGACTGAGACTGCTGCAGAGACCCCAGGACTGAGACTGAGACTGCTGCAGAGACCCCAGGACTGAGACTGCAGAATAGACCCCAGGACTGAGACTGAGACTGCTGCAGAGACCCCAGGACTGAGACTGAGACTGCTGCAGAGACCCCAGGACTGAGACTGCAGAATAGACCCCAGGACTGAGACTGAGACTGCTGCAGAGACCCCAGGACTGAGACTGAGACTGCTGCAGAGACCCCAGGACTGAGACTGCTGCAGAGACCCCAGGACTGAGACTGCTGCAGAAACCCCAGGACTGAGACTGCTGCAGAGACCCCAGGACTGAGACTGCTGCAGAGACCCCAGGACTGAGACTGCTGTGTATACATGTGGGTCTCCTCACCCGTAGCTCCTTGAAGAACACGCAGCTCCTGGCCCACTCCACGATGCTGAAGAGCGTCTGGTCGGCCATGCGGCACATGAGGCTGAAGGTGCTGTGCTTCTCGGAGCGCCCGCGGGAACCCTGCTCCTGCTGCAGGTGGGTCACGATCTTGTTCTGCACCACCAGCTCATCCGGGTCACAGCGCAGCAGCTCCAGCACCAGGGGGGGCAGGCTGGGGGGCGGGGGGGACGAGGGCCCGTACATGTCGGGGTACGGGTACCCGCCCAGGGAGTCCGGGGAGCTGGTGTAGTCGGGGCATTCGGCTTTGATGGCGCGGCTGGGGAACGTGTACGGGTACGGCGAGCTGAGCGCCACGTGCGACTGCACGGACATCCCCAGGGCGGGCGCGTACAGACCGGGCTCGTAGTCCGCGGGGGGGAGCGGGGGGGGCCCCGGGAGCAGGGACTTGGAGATGGTGGGCAGACTGTGCAGAGGAGCTGTGAAAGAGTAATCTCCCTGGAGGGGGGAGGGCGCGGGGGCCGCGGGGGCCACGGCGCCACCGCCGCCGCTGCTCTCCAGCTTAAAGCCACTGGACCGGATCAGCGCCTTCTTCTGCTGCTTCAGGGCCCGGTCCCGTTTGTACATCGGACCGAACTTATTCCTCCCACCGCGCATTCGGTCTGCACGGACCGCTGTGAGCACAGGGACAGGCTGTTAGGAAGACACACACATGTACACACACATGTACACACACATACATGTACACACATGTACACACACATGTACACACACATACATGTGCACACACATACATGTACACACACATGTACACACACATACATGTACACACACATGTACACACACATACATGTACACACACATACATGTACACACACATGTACACACACATGTACACACACATACATGTACACACACATGTACACACACATGAACACACACATGTACACACACATGTACACACACACATGTACACACACATGTACACGCACACAAATGTACACACACATGTGCACACACGTACACACACATGTACACACACATGTACACATACACACAGCATCATGCGTAAATACACAAGTGTACAAGCTTAAAATCTGGAACAGTCTTCCTGAAGATGTGAGACAGGCCTCCTCTCTGACAATGTTTAAAACCAGGTTAAAGACAGTTCTGTTTAGCTGCGCTACAACTGAGGGATTTTATATTTTTATCTCACACGTACACACACATACATACACACACACACACGTGTATATATACTCACACGTACACACACATACATACATACTTACACACACACTTGTGTATACATAGTGAGTAAGTAATTTTTATGTACAAAAATGGGCCTCCTGCTTTACTCTGATGTTAAAGCGAGCTCAAAAACAAAGTGTGTGTGTCTGTCTGTGTGTGTGTGTGTCTGTGTGTGTGTGTGTGTCTGTGTGTGTCTGTGTGTGCGAGAGAGTGTGTGTGTGTCTGTGTGTGTGTGTGTGTGTGTCTGTGTGTGTCTATGTGTGTGAGAGAGTGTGTGTGTGTCTGCGTGTGTCTGTGTGTGTCTGTGTGTGTCTGTGTGTGTCTCAGCCCAAACAGCTCCAGATTAAAAAGTGGGAGTCTCTGCGTTTTATCAGGAAGTCAAGAATGTGTCATTTCTGTTTCTACGGAAGCAGGTGCTTTCTAGCACTGAAGTCTGGGATCCAGACCAGAGACCAGAGCGAGACCAGAGAGAGACCAGAGCGAGACCAGAGAGAGACCAAAGAGAGACCAGAGAGAGGCCAGAGAGACAGAGAGAGACCAGAGAGAGAGACCAGAGAGAGACCAGAGAGAGACCAGAGAGAGACCAGAGAGAGACCAGAGAAAGACCAGAGAGAGACCAGAGAGAGACCAGAGAAAGACCAGAGAGAGACCAGAGAAAGACCAGAGCGAGACCAGAGAGAGAGACCAGAGAAAGACCAGAGAGAGACCAGAGAGAGACCAGAGAGAGACCAGAGACAGACCAGAGAGAGACCAGAGAGAGAGACCAGAGACAGACCAGAGAGAGACCAGAGAGACAGAGAGAGACCAGAGAGAGAGACCAGAGAGAGACCAAAGAGAGACCAGAGAGAGGCCAGAGAGACAGAGAGAGACCAGAGAGAGAGACCAGAGAGAGAGACCAGAGAGAGACCAGAGAGAGACCAGAGAGAGACCAGAGAAAGACCAGAGAGAGACCAGAGAGAGACCAGAGAAAGACCAGAGAGAGACCAGAGAAAGACCAGAGCGAGACCAGAGAGAGAGACCAGAGAAAGACCAGAGAGAGACCAGAGAGAGACCAGAGAGAGACCAGAGACAGACCAGAGAGAGACCAGAGAGAGAGACCAGAGACAGACCAGAGAGAGACCAGAGAGACAGAGAGAGACCAGAGAGAGAGACCAGAGAGAGACCAGAGAGAGACCAGAGACAGACCAGAGAGAGACCAGAGAGAGAGACCAGAGACAGACCAGAGAGAGACCAGAGAGACAGAGAGAGACCAGAGAGAGACCAGAGAGACAGAGAGAGACCAGAGAGAGAGACCAGAGAGAGACCAGAGAGAGACCAGAGCGAGACCAGAGAGAGACCAAAGAGAGACCAGAGAGAGGCCAGAGAGAGACCAGAGAGAGACCAGAGAGAGACCAGAGAGAGACCAGAGAAAGACCAGAGAGAGACCAGAGAAAGACCAGAGAGAGACCAGAGAAAGACCAGAGACAGACCAGAGACAGACCAGAGAGAGACCAGAGAGAGACCAGAGAAAGACCAGAGAGAGACCAGAGAAAGACCAGAGCGAGACCAGAGAAAGAGACCAGAGAAAGACCAGAGAGAGACCAGAGAGAGACCAGAGAGAGACCAGAGACAGACCAGAGAGAGACCAGAGAGAGAGACCAGAGACAGACCAGAGAGAGTCCAGAGAGAGACCAGTCCTGGGTCCTGGGTCCTGGGTCCTGGGTCTTGGGTCCTGGGTCCTGGGTCCTGAGTCTTACCTTCCAGGCGCATTCCCACGTTCAGACACTTCTGGAAGCGGCAGAACGGACACCTCTTCCTCTGGGTCTTGTCAATCTTACACTCCTGGTTCTCTGCACACGTGTACCTCTTATTGTTCTGCACCGTCCTCTTGAAGAAACCCTGAGACACCAGGAGAGAGACCATCAGGGAGAGAGCCCAGAGAGAGAGACCCTCAGAGAGAGAGACCATCAGGGAGAGAGCCCAGAGAGAGAGACCCTCAGAGAGAGAGACCATCAGGGAGAGAGCCCAGAGAGAGAGATCCTCAGAGAGAGAGACCAGAGAGAGAGACCCTCAGAGAGAGAGCCCAGAGAGCGAGACCCTCAGAGAGAGAGACCATCAGGGAGAGAGCCCAGAGAGAGAGATCCTCAGAGAGAGAGACCAGAGAGAGAGACCCTCAGAGAGAGAGACCAGAGAGAGAGACCCTCAGAGAGAGAGACCATCAGGGAGAGAGCCCAGAGAGAGAGACCCTCAGAGAGAGAAACCATCAGAGAGAGAGACCCTCAGAGAGAGAGCCCAGAGAGAGAGACCCTCAGAGAGAGAGACCAGAGAGAGAGACCATCAGGGAGAGAGACCAGAAAGAGAGACCCTCAGAGAGAGAGACCATCAGGGAGAGAGCCCAGAGAGAGAGACCCTCAGAGAGAGAGACCCTCAGAGAGAGAGACCAGAGAGAGAGACCATCAGGGAGAGAGACCAGAGAGAGAGACCCTCAGAGAGAGAGACCAGAGAGAGAGACCAGAAAGAGAGACCAGAAAGAGAGAGAGACCATCAGGGAGAGAGACCAGAGAGAGACCCTCAGAGAGAGAGAGACCATCAGGGAGAGAGACCAGAGAGAGTGACCCTCAGAGAGAGAGACCATCAGGGAGAGAGCCCAGAGAGAGAGACCATCAGGGAAACCATCACAGAGACAGACCATCAGAGAGAAACCATCAGAGAGAGAGAGACCATCAGGGAGAGTGACCATCAGGGAGAAACCGTCATAGTGAGAGAGAGACCAGAAAGAGACCAGAGAGAGAGCAGAGAGAGACCAGAAAGAGACCAGAGAGAGACCAGAGAGAGACCAGAGAGAGACCAGAGAGAGACCAGAGAGAGACCAGAAAGAGACCAGAGAGAGACCAGAGAGAGACCAGAGAGAGACCAGAGAGAGACCAGAGAGAGACAAGATGACAGACGTGAGACCAGAACACACTGGACCATCAAAGTCTCTGACCAAACACCATCCATTCCTTGCATTCAAACCATTGCAAGTGGTAGAGGAAACTGGAGCACCAGGAGGAAACCTACACAGACACAAGGAGAACATGCAAACCCCACACAGAACGGTTTGGAGCACCTTCTTGCAGCGAGGCATAAGTGCTAACCACTGCACCACCGCAGACCAGGACCTTCTAGATGGTCCAAAACCTTAAACCATTACGACTGGATTCTACTCTGGGCTTTAAGACGTCCATGTGGGGAAATGCCGGGGTTGCAGCGCACCGACAGGACAGTAGTGAGAGACAGTGATGGACAGGAACAACACTTGGAGGTAGAGACCATGAGAGCAGATGTGTCTCCTGCTGGTCTCCTGCTGGTCTCTCGTGCAGAGGATCAAAACAAAACACTTTCATTTCAAAAACAATGTGACATCAGTGACTTTGAACTGAGTCAAACATTACAGCTTCTCAGCAAGAAGGTCCTTGGTTTGAATCCCGGTCGGAAAAGGTTCTTTCTGAGTGGAGTTTACAAGTTCTCTTTGTGCCTGCCTAGGTTTCCTCCAGGTGCTCCGGTTTCCCCTACCACTAAAAACATGTACAATAAATCAGAATGAATTTGTGTTTGTGAGAGCGACTGTGACGGACGGAAATCAACGGAAGTACAATCGGAGGTGTCCCCACACACACACACATACATACAGACACACACACACATACACACTACGCACGCACACACAGACACACACACACACAGACAGACGCACACACACACACACACACAGACACACACAGACACCCACACACACAAACAGAGACACACACAGACACACACACACAAACAGAGACACACACAGACAGACACACACAGACACCCACACACACAGACACACACACACACACACAAACAGAGACACACACAGACACACACACACACACACAAACAAAGACACACACAGACACACACACACACAAACAGAGACACACACAGACAGACACACACACACATACACACTACGCACACACACACAGACACACACTCACACACACACCCACACACACAGACACACACACACAAACAGAGACACACACAGACACACACACACAAACAGAGACACACACAGACACACACACACACAAACAGAGACACACACAGACACACACACACACACAAACAGAGACACACACACACATACACACTACGCACGCACACACAGACACACACACACACAGACAGACGCACACACACACACACACACAGACACACACAGACACCCACACACACAAACAGAGACACACACAGACACACACACACAAACAGAGACACACACAGACAGACACACACAGACACCCACACACACAGACACACACACACACACACAAACAGAGACACACACAGACACACACACACACACACAAACAAAGACACACACAGACACACACACACACAAACAGAGACACACACAGACAGACACACACACACATACACACTACGCACACACACACAGACACACACTCACACACACACCCACACACACAGACACACACACACAAACAGAGACACACACAGACACACACACACACAAACAGAGACACACACAGACACACACACACACAAACAGAGACACACACAGACACACAAACACACACACACAAACAAACAAAGACACACACAGACACACACACACACAGACAGACACACACACACATACACACTACGCACGCACACACAGACACACACACACACAGACAGACGCACACACACACACAGACACACACAGACACCCACACACACAAACAGAGACACACACAGACAGACACACACAGACACCCACACACACAGACACACACACACACACAAACAGAGACACACACAGACACACACACACACACAAACAAAGACACACACAGACACACACACACACAAACAGAGACACACACAGACAGACACACACACACATACACACTACGCACACACACACAGACACACACTCACACACACACCCACACACACAGACACACACACACAAACAGAGACACACACAGACACACACACACACAAACAGAGACACACACAGACACACAAACACACAAACAGAGACACACACACACACACACACACAAACAGAGACACACACAGACAGACACACACACACATACACACTACGCACACACACACAGACACACACTCACACACACACCCACACACACAGACACACACACACACAAACAGAGACACACACAGACACACACACACACAAACAGAGACACACACAGACACACAAACACACAAACAGAGACACACACAGACAGACACACACACACATACACACAGACACACACTGACCTTGCAGCTCTCGCAGGTCAGCAGGCCGTAGTGATATCCCGACACCTTGTCGCCGCAGACGGGACACAGCTCCTCCAGGTCCTCGTCGTACGTGTACTCCATCACCGTCAGACTCACACCTACACACACACACACACACACACCAGGATCAGAGACACACCCTTCACCAAAACACGGCGTGGGTTTGTGTGTTTCACTCAGAGAAGAATGTACAATATGTGCAATATAGAACCACATGAGTCCCTGCCCCAGAGCCTCGGGCTGCTAACATGTGAACATGCTAACATACTACTATATGTGTGCACTAGAATATACAACATTTATACTTCCTTCTTTATTCTGCTAAAGTCACATATGTTATTTTATTTCACAGACTTCTTTGAACTTGTGCTGTGTCCTTCTGTGACTGTGCGATGCAACACTGACAACATGAGCTCTGAGGCCAGAGCTCTGGTTCAGACCCAACTTCAAATCACATGAAACAAACACACACACTTACTTAAAACACACCGCCTCAGTGGGGACTGTGTGTCTAACAGGACCATCTTCAGCAGAAAGCACAGTGGGGACTGTGTCTAACAGGACCATCTTCAGCAGAGAGCACAGTGGGGACTGTGTGTCTAACAGGACCATCTTCAGCAGAGAGCACAGTGGGGACTGTGTGTCTAACAGGACCATCTTCAGCAGAGAGCACAGTGGGGACTGTGTCTAACAGGACCATCTTCAGCAGAGAGCACAGTGGGGACTGTATGTCTAACAAGACCATCTTCAGCAGAAAGCACAGTGGGAACTGTGTGTCTAACAGGACCATCTTCAGCAGAGAGCACAGTGGGGACTGTGTGTCTAACAGGACCATCTCCAGCAGAGAGCACAGTGGGAACTGTGTGTCTAACAGGACCATCTTCAGCAGAGAGCACAGTGGGGACTGTGTGTCTAACAGGACCATCTTCAGCAGAGAGCACAGTGGGGACTGTGTCTAACAGGACCATCTTCAGCAGAGAGCACAGTGGGGACTGTGTGTCTAACAGGACCATCTTCAGCAGAGAGCACAGTGGGGACTGTGTGTCTAACAGGACCATCTTCAGCAGAGAGCACAGTGGGGACTGTGTGTCTAACAGGACCATCTTCAGCAGAGAGCACAGTGGGGACTGTGTCTAACAGGACCATCTTCAGCAGAGAGCACAGTGGGGACTGTATGTCTAACAAGACCATCTTCAGCAGAAAGCACAGTGGGAACTGTGTGTCTAACAGGACCATCTTCAGCAGAGAGCACAGTGGGGACTGTGTGTCTAACAGGACCATCTCTAGCAGAGAGCACAGTGGGAACTGTGTGTCTAACAGGACCATCTTCAGCAGAGAGCACAGTGGGGACTGTGTGTCTAACAGGACCATCTTCAGCAGAGAGCACAGTGGGGACTGTGTCTAACAGGACCATCTTCAGCAGAGAGCACAGTGGGGACTGTGTGTCTAACAGGACCATCTTCAGCAGAGAGCACAGTGGGGACTGTGTCTAACAGGACCATCTTTAGCAGAGAGCACAGTGGGGACTGTGTCTAACAGGACCATCTTCAGCAGAGAGCACCGTGAAAATTAGCACCTGTGCTTTAACACTTAGAGCATCTGGTTCGTCCAATGTTATTGTTATGCCCATATTAAATAAATAAATATATACAGTATGTGTAGTTCCATATATGTGTCGTACTATATATATATGTACTTTTATGTGTGGTACTATATATGTAAAGTACTATATATTTGTATATGTGTGGCACTATATATGTGAAGTACTATATATGTGTCGTACTATATATTTATATGTACTTTTTATGTGTGGTACTATATATGTGAAGTACTATATATGTGTCGTACTATATATATATATGTACTTTTTATGTGTGGTACTATATATGTGAAGTACTATATATGTGTCGTACTATATATCCTGAGTTTCTCCTATGGGGATCAATAGTATGTATCCATCTGTCTATCAATATATACATGTGGTACTATATATGTGTAGTACTATATATACTGTATATAGTAAGTAAGTAATGTTTATTTATATCGCACATGTTACAGACCAAGGTACAGACCCAAAGGTACAGACCCAAAGGTACAGACCCAAAGGTACAGACCAAGGTACAGACCCAAAGGTACAGACCAAGGTACGGACTCAAAGGTACAGACCAAGGTACGGACCCACAGGTACGGACCCAAAGCACTTTCCAATGTTCAGAGTCAGATATTGTTCCAATCCTTCCACACACGATGATGACAGAAGCGAGTCCAGAACACACTGGACCATCAAAGCCTCTGACCCAACACCACCATTCACTCTCTCATTTACATTCAGACCTATTGTGCATGTTTTTAGTGGTAGGGGAAACCGGAGCACCCGGAGGAAACCTGCACAGACACAGGGAGAACATGCGAACTTCACTCAGAAAGGCCCTGTTCCGACCGGGATTTGAACCCAGGACCTTAATGCTTCTAAGCGAGAGTGCTAACCACTCAGCCACTGTGCCGCCCAGTACTACATATGTGTATTGCTATATATGTGTACTACTATATTTGTGCAAACCAGGTCCTCTCTGAGTTCCTCTCTGAGGTCCTCTCTGGGGTCCTCTCTGGGGTCCTCTCTGAGGTCCTCTCTGGGGTCCTCTCTGGGGTCCTCTC